AAGGAACGCGATGGCCCAGAACTCCGCGATTTCCCTGACAAACCTCCAATCCAAACGACACTTACTATCTCCAAACCTCACCTGAAAGTCCAGCAAGGTTAAGCCTTTTCGCTGAAAATAAACAGGTAGACCGGGCCACGGAAACGCCAAGAGTCCGGCCAGGCGGGCCGAGAGTCAGCTGCTGACCTTGGCGAGGTTGGAGGATCTTCATGGCTAGCCACCGAAAATTTAATGGTTCCTGGTTGCGGAATAGTTGCTTGCAGGCAGCACTGGGTTAAGTTAGACTTGGTTGCTGTTGACACCTCTGCAAAAAGTTTATAGTGGAAAACCCCATGACTTCCAAAAAAGTTAAAGTCTAACGATCCAACCCAATAGCAGTCAAGTAGACAGGTGATCGAAACACCTGTTTAACTTAATCCAGTGTTAGCTAGGAAGCCAGGGAACCATGATGTGGAACCTAGAGGTGAGAAACTCTGGCTACCCGCTGTAGTGGTAACTGGAATCGCTGGGCAAGATGCAAATGAGTTAAACAAAAACAGGTTTCCCAAAGTTAAAGGTCAAACATCCAATCCAGCATTCTAGAAAGTAAAGGGGCCATATAAATTCAATTGGGCTAAGAACATAAGTCCATCCCTAAGCACATACGTCCATCCCCTTGCAGTTTGCTTTCAGGAAAATGACGCTGGAACAAATATCTCAACACCTGCTGGACGAGGGAAATGGGAAAAAGGGCAGACATGCGGCTGTCCTGCGAGTTTCAGTTCAACAAGGTCCCTTTAGATGTTAAACAGGTCCCGCACATGTTCCTTTGAACGCATGGAAGTACAACGGGTATGCGGAAAAGAGACAAAACACATGCTGCCCTCCCGGCAAAAACAACAACCAAAAAACAAAGAAGAAGAACCAAGCCCTCCACGCATGCGAAATGGTTACCCATATTCACCCATTTGTGGAATTAAAAATTGGGCGTATTCCCTGCATGGATTGTCTGGGAGCTTTTTCCCCCAACGAAGTCGCCCTTTCTCGGTGGCCCTGCGGCCAGTTGCATCCCTCGTCCTCCGGCATGGAGTGCATGGGGCCTACCGAGTTCGAGCGTGACGTGTGTCCCAGGGCGAATACGAATCAGATTCCAAGGCCCAGCCGGTCCAAAAGGATTTGGGCATCTTCAGATGCAGGGTTGTGGGATCACTCGGGGTTTCTCCCCACTGTGATACTTTTGGGAATCCCCCTTGATATCAAAAAAAATAGTCGTTGGGGTTAGGCCCTTTCTGTTGTGTCTTCAGAAAGGTGAAGAGAATTTGACCCAACTCTCACCCCCCCCCTCGCCCATTTTTACACGAATCAGACCCTCAGCCTGGTTGAGGCTTGACTTCTTTGGAAACCAGGAGGCAGGTTGGGGTTGGATATGATCAAATGCCGCCGCTTTGGAGGAGACGAATTTGTTTCGGAAGGCAGGCGAGGGTATCAAATGCGGGCGTGTCAATCAAAGGTGGCTTGTTTCCTCGGAATGTTGATCCATTTACTGGTGGTTTCCATTGAAACGATCGCCGCTTTTGGAGGGTGCATGAAGGGAAATGGCTCGGAAACCGGGCCAAAGTTGAAGGGTTTCTCAAATCCCGGGACGGCAACATTCAACTAACCTAACCCAGTGCCTCTTGGCAATCCACTGTTAAGTGGGTAACTAGGGGGAAAGCGTGTAAAACCCCGAGGAACACAGACCTGTCTACATACGATAGTGGAAACTGGAAGCATTGGCAAGGATTTATTTGTTGTTTTTCTATCAACATGTTTCGTCAGCATTTGCTTTCTGTCAAACAAGTGGTTCCAGCTACCCACCAAAAGAACCACCCAAATAAACACATACCAAGGACAGTGAAGGATAATTTGTCTTGTGAATCCTGCGTCATTTCCCAAGTCCCTCCCAAAGTGGAACAATCCTCAGGATTTTTGCACTCAGTTGCCCCTTGGTAACTTAGGGACCAGGAATACAAGGTGATCACCTTTGGGGCCATGACCCGAAACGAAAAATCGAAAAAGGATACAAGGTCGGCATTGCACAAGTGAGTGCAAACAGCCCCCAGGAACATCCCAACTACCCTCCCACATGGAACCCGCCAAAGGCTGCTTTGCTCCGTTCAGGTGGGAAGGCGTGCCCAAACCCTCACTTGCCCCTTGAGGACTTAGAAACAAAGGTGATCGCCTTTTGGAACCTATACTAAAAGTGGACCAAAATGGGAAACCAACAGGTCAAAGCTGTGTCCTCACATCCCCTGCTAAAAGTTTTGACGCTCAGTGGGCTACAGTAAAAATGGACCCCCCTACTCAACCAACTCAAAAAGTAAAACCTAAGGAACCGGACGGCTGGTTCCGAACCGCCAAGACAATGGTAGATTCGCGTGGGGCAAGTGAGGGGAGGGGTGGTTTGGAACCGAATCGGTGGTTTGGGTGGCTATGGAGGGGGTTCCCATCTACCCCCTACAAAAGCTAGGGACCTGTTCAAATCCGAATCGAAACCAGAAGGAGTGCCTGAAATCATTCTTCCTCTTGTGTCTAGCGGGCCTAAAAAAAACACCATCCCGTTCGGCGTCCTAAGGAAACTTGGTTGCTTTCTGCTCCCCTGCTAAAAAAGCTTAACTTTTAGTGGTTTCATGCGGAAAACCCAGTAGTTGGCAAAAAGTTAAAGTCCTAACATCCCTTGGCAAAATGCGCCAAAGGAAAGAACGCATGCGATATCTAGCGCCCACCACTTTTTCCTTTTCTGCCCATCGCCGAAGCCTTCTTGGCCTAACAACTCCTCAAGCCCGCGGGGCAGAAACCTCTCAGCAAAGCCGCTCCAGTCAAAGGCGCCGTCCTGGCTTTGAGAGCCCAAAGCCTCGGGTTCCTTGGCCTCCTTGACACGTTGTCGTCCCCATTTTATTTATTTATTGTTTTTTTTTTTTTTTAATCTCTGCCTGGAGTCTCCTTCTGACCCTTCCAAAATGGTTGGTCATTACCCAAAATGAAGGGGTTATGTCCCCATTTTTCAAGGGTCATGGAGACTCCAGGCAGTGATAGATTCCAACTTGAGAACCAACAGGGGAAAATAAGACATAGAAGTTAGGGTAGGGTTCCTTGGGGAGTCCTCCTTGACTAGCCCAAACCGCCATGGACCAAATAGAGTCCACTCTCCTGCAAGGGCGCCTTGCAGGTGAACCAGTAGAACCTCAGCTACCAGTCAGCTTGCCACATCAATCCGTCAGCCGCAAGGAAGCGCGCCGGAGAAAAAGCACAAAACAAAACTGTCCTCTTGGCTGGAAAAAAATCGGACCCCAGCCAAAAACCTAGATTTGTTTTTGCCCGGTTGGTGGAAAACAAGGGGAACCCCAAAAAAAACAAGAACGCAAAAAGGGGAGCTAATTCTGGTTGGAAGTGTCTTCCTGGTGTTGGGCAAACAACGAGTTGTGTTTGGAGAACCCCGCGCAACGCCCCAGTGAATGTAAGGGACATAGGAATGAGAGCCCTGGGTGAAAAGCGTAAGGTTAAGTCGAACAATTTCGCAGAAGGTGAGGACTGGCCATTAGGGGTATCTGCAAGGTATGGGGATCTGCGTGGCGGGTGACATCTATCGCTAAAAAGCATCAAGAGCCTGATTTGTCAAGTGCGCCCTCGCTACGGCTGCCGTAAACAGCACAAGACGTACAATTAAAAACGCCCGGCAGTTCCGGGCAAGTCATCGTTTAGCAGCGGTTTTTGTCGCACTCACAAGTACTGGTGCGTTCAATGGCCACTGGCCCAGCAGGTACTCTGAATGATCAATTTCCCAAGCTTGGATACTAAAAACTGAGCCGATGACAGACATCAAAACAACGGTCCGACCAAAACAAAGGGAATCGCCTGACCAAAGGGGAAATACGTCTCCCCTGCAGATAACCCTACTAAGGGCAATGCGATTCGAGCGTTGCACAAATTGCATTGAATTACCGGGAAATTAGAAGGCAGCCAAAAAGAACGCCATGAAAACAAGGCTGCAACATCAAAGAAACCGAGCCTTGACTGTTTGACGAGACGTGCACTTTTGAGGTGTGTGTCTGTGGTGCTTGGGCTGCGCTTTGATTTCCCTTCAACACAACAAACACAAACCAAATGGCTGTGGCTCAAAAAACCGGTACCAAAATGGAACCCTGGTAAGTGGAAACATGGACCAACACCTGCGTAACCCCTCCTGTTTAATTTTGAGCCACATCCAAATGCCAACCCCACAACTCCAAAAGGGCGCGCTCCAAACTGGCCTCGGCCCCCTTCAAAGAAACCGATTCACGACCGGTTCTGATGGGGTCTCTGACCGATTCACGACAAGGCACAGGCTCTTGCGCGTGCCGGACAACACCGGCTCCACCTCACAACTGAGCTTGGATTCACCCTGAGCTTGGGGTTACCCGAAAACTATTTTCGGGGGGGTCAACGTGAACTCACAAAAGGCGGATTCCAACAAGTGCAAGCTCTTGGTTTACCACGCAACGCCTTCCAAACAGGTTTTCCTCTAGTCCAGGAACTGAGGAAGGCCTTTCCCTTGGGCCCATGTGGCAAGCGAGGTGGCTCGGAACTTGCTAGGCTTCGGGTTCAGAACATGTCCGCAGCTTGAAAGGCCCGATCCATTTCTCTGGGAAAGACCCCCAACAAATCCCCCCAAGTCTCACCGAAAGGGAACCTCAAACTATGGAACCCCAGTCTCAGTAGACAAGATGGGTGGTGTTTTGCCTGGCTCTCCCTTTGAAACACCCCAGAAAAGGGGGCCTCTCCAAACAAGACACCTATGCTGCACTGATGTGGGCCGCTCTTTTTTCGGCGAACCCGCCAAAATGCTGGTGTTCCTTATTTGATTTCCTTCAAAACCACCACACAAGACGGTCCCCTCCAAGAAAAAGGCGGGACCCCGACCCAAACAAGACAGCAACACTTTTTCAAGACGGCCCTCATCCGACAGCCGACAGCCCCCCAAGACACACTCTTTGAGACGGCCCTCATCCGACAGCCCCCCATCCCATCCCCGCCCCCATTGAACTCATCGCCTGGTGCACCGTCTCGCTGAGCCAGGCGATGGCCTTGCCGCGCTTGGGGAGGAGCCTGTGCCGCACCGGGAAGGCGGCCTCCGGCTCGCCGTCCCAGAGCCACTCCCCTGACGAAGGAAAAAACACGAAGCGGCCCGGAAACCAACCCTGTGATTTTAGGGAGTCCCTGACAAAGGGGAAAGGCCGGGAACGGAGAACCTTAAGGAACCCTGAGGAACCCGAAAGGGGCTCTCAAAATGGGGTGCCGCAAAATGCTGGGCCGCAAAATGATTGCTTCAAAATGATTGGTATAACAAGGAAAGTGGGACCAGGAAAAGTGGCACAAGGATTTGGGGTGCCACAGAATGATTGGTTGCAATTGTTTCAGTCCCTCAATTTCCATTGCTTCAGGAAAGGGAATACCAAAGGTTCTGGAGTACTTCGGCGGGGTAGGTGCAAGAAAAGGGGTAGCTTTTTAGGAAATCCCCCCTTGGACCACCCCCCTTTGTAGGGACTCCGAAAAAACGTACCACAACATGATTTGAGTCACAATCAGAACACGGGACAAAAATGGTCGACCCAAAACCACGTAAAGAACTAAGCAGGCGGATATCCGCAGCAATTTATGGCTGGGATGGTCTTCACTTACCGGGGCTTTGAGCACGTGGCTCACTTGGGGAAGCAACATAAAGAAAAGGAGTCCCACTATGTTGGTAGCTGCTGTTTATTGAAACTCTGCGGATCCATCGAATCCAAGTAAAGCAGAGTTTTGCTTTGGACGTGGGTGTGGCTCAAAATCTTTGGACCTGGGTGGTGGCTCACAATGAAACGCGAGTTTTCGTCTTTTAATCTTTGTTCCAATATAAATAGGTCCTCCAGTAGAGAGCTTAGAATAAGGGTACCCTTTTTCCTGTAGTCTATTTTAGTAGGGGAACCCTCCCAAAAAAAAGGGGCAAAAGGGTGGGGGACCTAGCATATTGTATAACTACCAAGGTGATAGTTTTGGTGCCATGTCTTGAGCCGCAGCCCTTGGGCCGTGTACGCTTTGAGGAACCCTGGCGAAAGTTGAAATGATGCGGTGTCCTGGGCTTTTGTAGGGTTTTTACCCTTTTTGGGGAAGGGAAGCCGAAAGGGTTTAGGGGGGGACCCAAATTTTGAGGCACAGCCATTGGTTTCCCTTTGGCTTCCAAACCATCAAGCAAACCCCCCCCCCAAAAAAAAAAGAAGAAAAAGGAAAAGCCACCTTCATCCGTATAACCCCTCAAGCGCTCCCAAAAAAACAAAGACAAACACGTATAGCCCCTCAAGCGCCCCCACACCACCCCCCCCCCCGCCCGCAAACAATATATATAATAACAACAACAACAAAAATAGTATACAATCCTTACTGGAACCACCCTCCCCCCCTCCGCCAAGAAACAAACAAGAACAAAGTAACCCTTTCTGCGACACCCCTTGGCGCCTGGCTTGAGCACGACGCTGCCATTCGGCGTTTGCCGCGCAAAGGGCCCCCCGCTCACGGGCACAAAGGTGCGAGCGCGGCCGCGGTTCCCGCAGTCTGGGACCGTCTTGGGGCACTCGAAGATCTTGATCTCGCCGCCTCAAAAAAAGCGTCCGCTGCCGTCCAGCTTGGGCGTGTGAACTAAAGGGTCTAGGAAAAAATGCTTCCAGCTTGTCAGCTTCCTTCCAAGTGGTGATTTTGGTGGCGAATTGGAGGGGTTTCCCATCTTCCCTCTACAAGAGCTGCCCTAAAATATCCTTCAAACAAACTGGCTTGATCCCGTTTAACCACCCCCCAAACAAAAAAACGAAGCAACAAAAAAGCTGCTCAATTGATAGAGAGATGTCCCATTGCAGCAGAGGTCCTTCACTTTGGGGGCTTCTTGTTGGGGGCCCTTCACTTTTGAGGGGCGTTGCAAAAACAAACCCAAGAAGTCATCCCCTGTTGGTGGTGCGGGGGAGGGCTGGCATCAAAGGGGACCCTCCACCTCCGTTGCCTGCGCATCGCCTTAGTGCCAAAGCTCCAAAGCCGCCGAGGCTCCCGTGAAATCCGCCCCGTGCGTGGAAAAGGACACCGCGAGGGAAAGGCAATGCTCGCCCTTGTCCGTGTCGGGATGCAAGATGTGCTTGCCTCGCGTCCGTTTGCGGAGCCCGTCCAGATCTCCATCGAGGGTTGAGTGGCTCATACCGTTCATGCCCTCTTTCCAACAGTCATGGAAGTGTACGTGAGGGTGTTGGAAGGCTTTTTTCTACAAGGCTTGGATAAGGTCTGACTACCATGGCCAAGTTGGGCTAGGTCAATCCTAATTTGCAATCCTTATTCCCAAAGAATCCATGTAGGTAACATGTTCAATCATTTGACCAATTTGGAGTTGGCAAATGTGGGTATAGATTACCTACATACACTGTCTGGACCACAAAGCGGACCCGTCTCGCAACCCCAGATCCTGCTGATTGCCTTTGAGCAGAGTCCAATACATGGGGACTCGCAGAAGCAGAACCCTGGCTGATTTTGATCGGGGGGTGCCCTCCAGTGGGGAGTTATATCATTTTTGGAGGAGAACACACCCTATTGCTGCTCAGTTGCCCAACATGGAGCAAGACGGGGAAACCAACAGGTCAAAAGGTCGATTTGCTTTGAGCAAGCAAGATCTACTCCACTGCCCACGATCCAACCATGCTTCTGGCATGCCAAAAGTTTCGGAAAGAAGTCCCAAAATGGAAGGTGAGGATTGGATGGGCCCGAGTGAACTTGATCGGAGGATGCAGGTGCCCTTCGAATGGAGGTGCCCCTAGGGGGTGAGGATTGGGTCTGGGTGAGCAAAAACTGCCTACCTGGAGTCTCCACGACCCTTAAACAATGGGGTCCCTACTTCAAAATAATGGGGTCATGGTCCCATTTTTCAAGGGTCGTGGAGACATGGTCCCATTTTTCAAGGGTCCTGGAGACTCTAGGTCCGGGCTGGGCCGAACAACGGATACACCCGGCCTCCGGGCTGGTAGTTCTGGAAGGTGGCCCAGTGAGGCCACACCTGGCCGCTGTACTCGTAGGCGGTGACCTGCAGATCTCCCGCCCCTCTCACCAGCGCCAGGGACCGCTTGGTGACCTCCAGCAGCAGCTGCAGCTCCTGAACGACACGGCGAAAGCGAGGCTGGTTCTAGCGGTCTCTGAATTTCCGCTTTTTGGAGCCTCCAAAAGTGGCAAACCCAGCAACTTGCAAGCTACATCCAGTGACCCCCGTTTTCCTTACTGGGTGAAAATGGGCGCGTTGCCCTGTTTTGCGGGGATGTCGTTTCCCTTTAGACCAACCTGAAGAAGCCAATGCAAAACTGTCCAGTTGGTGACCCTAGAACACCCTTCTTGGGTGTGCATGGGTTTTGGAGGCATGGATGCTTGAAAACCTCATAGCTCCAGAACCCTGCAAACTTAACCTCAAAGGGTGTCGCCTTTCAGAACTCGGCCCAAGCGTCGCAGTTGTGGACAACCTCCTAGCATCCTCCAAGTTTCAGTACCCACTGGATGGTGGTTCAAACAAGCAACCCCTAAAAGGGCAAGTTAATCACTTAGTTATTAGCCATGGTAAGTGGGTAAGCAGGGCTGTTATCTACTTGGCTACTAGCCTCTTGTGGGCGAGTCCCTATTTACCCTTTGGATGTTGAATTGAACCCCCAGACGGAAAACACCATCCTCCAAATAATCCTGCTTATCCTACGCAGCGCTTCCAGTTGCCAGAAAGTAGATAACCAGGTACGCTTCCCTCTAGGTTTTACATTTGCCCTAGATACCTACTTGAGGGTTCGACCAGGTCAGTAAGTTGTTGGTACCCCAGGTTGCGGCCCACTTGTAAGCCACCCAAGTGGAGCTAACCTGGCGTTTTACAACCCAAGTGGCGTTTTCCACCTACTGATGTTGGCGAATCAAACATCCAAGTGCTCTCACTTCTTGGGAGAGTAAGGCACAAAGTCCCCAAGGGCCTCAGGCGAGGGTGGTCCAGGGGGGGGGGCCCGAACTTGATAGGCAGGGGATGAGAAATGGAATGACCTGGAAAAAGACAATCCCCGATATGTTTTTTGAGGAAATCCCAGGTTCATTCCCAGCACCCGAAGGTCCTTCATTTCCTACTGAGCACCAGTAAGTGTAGTAGTACTCACTTCCTGAATTCCGTTGGGACTTCAGCCACTTTTGGGGTGTGGATGATTTTAGTGGCAAATCAAAAGTTCCTGGACTTGTTTGGTGCCCGCTCCTCCGGCCGGGCGACTTGCGCCATCTGCCAGAGGCCACAGTAGGCCACACATCCCCGCGCCAGGCCTGGACTAGAGCTGAGCTGAGCAAACTCAGCTCGCAGCCGGGCGGCGACGGTAGTCTAAACCACGGATGTGAATGTGTTTTTGTCGGAAAAAAGGCAAACAAGCCGAGCGCTCAAAAAGTCTATACCACTGATGTTTTTTTCGTTAAGAAGGCAAACAGGTCGCGTACCCTTGTTCCCTTGGGTTTTCCTCTGGCGTTGCTTTGGTTTCCTTGTACAACCACTCAAAAGGAAATGGGTATCCAAACGAATACGCAGCCATGTTGGAGCCTTCCCTCCCTTAAAGACTCTTTTGACACATACACGCTTTGACCAAGAACGACAATCCCCTTGTAGATCACTCCCCAGTAAGCCTTCAGAAACCCGAAGGTGAGTCTGATTGTTGACCCTTTGAACCTTTTGGACATCTACATTTTGTTGCCCCCCAGCCACGAGCCCCGGAGTTCCCCACGGAAAACCAAGAACGACAGTTTGCAAAGTGAGCAGGTGGGAGGTTCCTGAATTGGAAAGCCAACACCAATGGGCTGTTGAAGGAAAACATGAAACCCAATAAAATGCTATGTTTAAATGGACGAGTCCGCCATGTTCAAGGGTCAGCTTTGAGATGACAGGTACAAGCCGGTGGGGCCGAGAGAGCGCGGAACAATGCACAAAGAAACCCCAAAACCCAATTTGCGTTGCATGCTCTTGCTATGCATAGTATTGCGCGCGCACTGCTTTTTGATTGGTTTGTTTTTGTGTTTTCTGTGGTCTCACTTGCTATCTTGTGATGATTCACTTGGTGTCCCATGTTGCCCTGCTGTCTCATCTACTGCCTCGCTCATCAGGAAGCGAATCCGACCCCGTGAAACAACGTGCGAAATATGAGTCAGTGAATCAAGAGGTAAAACGACTAGAGAGATCGACAAGCTTCTCGCCGAAGTCAAAGGGAGACCAGTTTGCATGGGAGGGTTTCCCTAGTAGAATCAAACAACATAGCTAAAGTCCACACCCAAGTCGGTGTGTCTTTGATACATGTGGCTCGAACACTGGGAAGCGCAACATGGGGGATTCCTGATCCTAGTAAGACACCACTACATCAAGGGACGCCACTGACATCTACAGATTATGGCGTAATATTGAATTCAAACCAAGCCAGGTTTTAAAGGGCATCCCGTTTTTCCATCCCCCCGATGTTGTAGAAGATGTGTTTCATAAAAAAAGGAGGAAAACACGGAAGGCACCAACTCACAAATAAAACGTCGACCTTTTAGCTTCACTAAATGTGGAAAAGCCGAAACAAGCAACCTGTTCAGGTCAGATCCGGTCGATTCGCCCAGGAGGCATGTGACGAAGAACAGCGTGTCTTGCCGTCCAAGAGGCACTCCTCGCCCTCGTTCTTCTCCTCGCTCTTCTCGAGGCTCTTTTGACCTCAAAAGCCAAGTGGACCTTTTGTTGCCCTCCCACCCTTTTCACAGCCGGAACATGATGTTCGGGGGTTCCTTGAAAAGAAAAAATGTTTTTTAGGATCCCCCTGTCAGGTTCCATGTTGATTGGTGGGATGGTAATTGCTTTTAAAGAGGTGGGAGCCCCGGATTCCCTCTACTTGGTGGCTTGATGGTTAGGGGTGGCGTTCCAGATATCTACAAGAACCAGGGCTTCAAATCCCTAAACCAATCCAAACCGCCAATTGAGGGATACCGAAGACCCCCTTCCAACAAGAAAACAAACAAGAAAGAACAGTAACAATACTATGAGTAATCCTATCATAGCAATATATAATCATACTTACTAAGAACAATAATAGTAAGAGTAACAAGACATCATGTTATTCAAAAAACAAAAACCTCATAACAACAATAGCAGTTCTCATGAAGCACCAAGGAAGAAAGACAAAGTTTTCCGGCTTGCGGTCTGGGTGGCAGCGCGACTCCCAGGCCTCGAGCATCGAGAGCTCCTGAGGCTGCAAGAAGTCCTGGCGAACGAAAAAACCGCTCGCTCGCTCGATTGGGCCACAGTTCTGAGTTCTCTCGGTTGCTAACTCTGCTCCCGTGCAACCAGTAGAACCTCAGCTACCAGAAGTTTGATGCTTGCCACAATCCGTCAGCCGCAATGAAGCGCGCCGAAAAGAAAAACACCACTGTCTTCTTGGCTGGAAGAAGGGGACCCCAGCAAAAAATGAGATCTTGTTTGCCTGGTTCGTGGCAAACAAAGGGGACCCAAAAAAAGCAAAAAAGAGTAAAAGGGGGAACTAGTTCTGGGGAAGAAACAGTTCTGAGTTCTTAGTGGGATCCACTCAAAAGGTAAGGTCGGCTGCAAAGGTACGAGTGACCCACTGGCTCACTGTTACTCGAATCCTCAACAGCCAATCCTTGCTGGGCCAAGCGAAAAAATCGGCTCAAAAGGTCGGACGAGCCCCAAAAAAAAACGACAAACACTTCTCAGTTACCGCTCAAATGGTCCCTCCCCCAGGCGATTTCATGGAAGCTCCCACCCCGAAATGGAAGACTTGGTGTCATTTACAGCGGCAGTTTGAGGGAGCTCCATGTTAGTTTGGGGAGTGTAACTTTCCAACCCTTGAAAAACAGGCTGTTCTTTGTAGCCCTTACCACAAATTGATCAGAAGTGACATAGCTAACAACATGTTTTTTTTGTTTAAGAGAAAACCATGCCAGCAACAGTGCAGCTAAGTCCTCACTTTCTGAGTGGGCTGGCCAAAAGAAGTAGCCCATCTTGTTGTTTGCCAAACTGGTCCAAACCCAAAAGTCCCTCGGTAGTCCATGAACTCAGGACGTGAGGGTCCACAGTCTGGTCTCAAAGGATCAACTCCCCACATCCAAGGACCAATTGAACTTGCTTAATTCTAAACCAGATTTGGTGAAGGTGCAACTTTCAAATGATTCCAACAATAACCAGAAATACAATGATGCCCCCATCCATCCAACCAGCCAGCCCATACCCCGCCCGCCAGCCATCCACCCATCCGGCCAACCAGCCAGGCATCCATCCCAGCCAGAATCGCTTTGTCCCTGTCTGGCGTTTGAGGTGACAAGGCTGGCATCAGTGGCATCAGCAAGAGTTTCCCGTTCAAATTAACATGGGGCAAGACAGCAACTTCATCAACATGGGGAAAACACCATTGGGCAAGACAACAACTTCATCGACATGGGGGAAAGCCAACATGGAAAACCAAAAATAATGAGATGGGGAAACACCAACATGGGAAAGCACCTGGAAGCCACGGGTAGATCGCCTTTCACATCTCGGGCCACTTGGATTGTCCGTCCTCGCGCACCAGCACATCGCCCCTTCCCAGGCCGGCCGTCGCCTTCCTTACGTCCCAGGCTCGAACAACCGAAAAGGGGGGGTTCCCCGTCTTGGGGGCCCAAAACACGTGCTAGGCAGCACTGGGAAACATGGCTAAACAAACAAAATTGTGTACCCAGTATGTGATTGAGCTTCTGTGGCATTGGGATCTTAATAACTAGACATAGTTTTTTTGCACCCATGCACGTATTTGAGCCGGGGTATTTTGCAGCGGCATCCATACACTACATGGTTGGGACCCGGGACCAAAGGCACACCCAAGAATCTGATTTGGTCTTTGGTGCAACTTTAGAGTCTGAAACGTAGAACGGCCTTGTCAGGTGAAACCAAAAAGCAACCAATGGATGTTGGATGTTGGGTCCTCTCAGGTGCCCCGGATGGGCACCCAGAAATGAAAGGTGATCACCTTTTGGGGGCATGACTGAAAATGGACAAACGCAGGAAAACCGAAAAGTCGAAACGCCGGCTTTGGGCAAGTGAGTCATGTTTCAGACCCTAATAATTACCGAAGTCTGGCAATGTTCCGTCAAACATCAAGAACAACGCCTCAGCTTTGGGAGATGCCTGGCAATGACAGCGGCAGTTTGTACTTGGTTGCCCCTCAATTACCTGGAAACAAAAGGTATTCGCTTTGGGCAAGTGAGCGTATAGGTTTAATGCAAACGCCAGTTTGCGAAGAGTCTTATCAGGGGGATTCTGTCACACCAAAAAACCAGCCATGAACACACCCGTAAGGGTCTGTCGTTGCTTGAGGGCACGCTGTTTTGGAGTTGTCATGGACACCAAGCCATGAAGCAAGCAAACCCAGTTGTTCAGTCACCTCCCAACGTCCACTTTTGTTGTGATCCTCCAAACCACCCTCTGATTTAAAAGCTGCCTGGACCCTCAAATTACCGATTAAAAATACGAGATACAATTCACCACATCTAATTTTGGGGAATAACCCCACAATGGTGGGGGGGGGAATTTGAGGGTCCAGGTGGTTCCTATAACAGGCAACGCCCACCTCCCCCCACCTGAAAAATGCGACGAAGGGTCTGCGTCTGGCGCTGCTTCCTCTTCGATGGCTTCGGCTTCGGCTTCGGAAGATGCGGCGGTTGCCGCTCGAAGGGCCCCGAGACGCGGCCGAAGCAGGCGGACACGGGCAACGTCCACCTCACTTGGACCATCTTCCGTTTTCTTTTGCAACCCCCGAACGTCAGGTTTTATGTTACTTGGTGGGAGGCTATAAAGGTTTCATGGGTTTCGCCCCCTTTCGCCCTAACTGACTTCGGGGGTTCTAGATGGTTACCCTCCCCTTTTCACAGCCGGAACCTGACGTGACAGGGGGGTCCTGTTATTGCAAGCCCCGAACGTCAGGTTCTATGCAAGAAAGGTGGGAGTGCATCATAAAGGTTTATGGCGTACTACCCAGATCGATTGCAGCAGGCAAAAAACACCTACTATCTTTGGGATTTGGCGTAGCTTGCGGCTCACCAAACGCTCACCAAAACGCCTTTCTTCGGCCGGGAGGGGTGGCTTTAAGGGACCAAGGGGAAGCCAACCATTTCGAGGTGTACTCTTGCGACATCAAGATATTCATTGGAGGTGTGATAGGGTCCTTGAGTAGCTGATACCCCTGCAATATTGCCCACTGGTTCAGAATCAAAACAAGGAAAGCCACAAGAAATGTAGGCCGCGCAGTCCTTCATGGCCAAGAGGCACTCTTGCAATACTGTGGATGGACAAAATCCTACACCACAGAAGAATCCTAGAAAAAATCGATTCCCCTGTAAATGCCAACGAACAATGGTTTCACCCATGGTTTCATTTCGTGGTGCCTAAGAGGATTTCGCAACCATCCACAGTAGCTCCCGTTTTCCCGTGGGCTTCGCAGTGACCAAACAGGCATGTGTTTTTTACCGCCGAGATCCCCGGCCAGGGGCCCTGGGCTTATTAACGGGCTGGTTGTTTCACCAATTTTCTCGCTTCCCCAAGCGGAGTCCAAGCTGTGGGTCCTTGTTTAAAAACAATTTCCTTCTGGTGTCCCTTTTCCGGGATATTTGTTGCCTTGCTTTTTCACCCATTTCAAATGCCCAAGCGGAGAAGCCCGGAGTGAGCAATTCGAATTCCAGGGCGCGTGTTGGGGTCCTGCTGGAAGGGCCGCTCGTAGCGTTGCTCCCCGGAGCCCAGCAACGCCAAAACCCAGGGGCTGCCAAAGCGGAGCCGGCCCAGCGTCACCTAAACGGAATTCGGGGCCGGGACGCTACGGAAGTTTTGGAGCTTGAGGGATTCCGGTTCAAATGAAAAACACGTACAAGACACGCCGAAATTGAATACATTTATATGATTTACACCTACAGTACAGTACAAGTAGGAGCTTTAAGAAGCACATAATCACATTCTATTGTGTGTGCGCGTTGCTTGCTTTGGTGGATGGATTTGTTTGTTGAATTATACATTTTAGGAGAAACGAAGGAGGATGGGGTAGTTTGCAAGCTGGAACCTTCACAAAATATCGACCAAACCCGGCAAACCCAAAGGGTAACAGGTGGATTCACTTCGGGCAACTGGCACCAGACTTTCAGTGTCCGCGCGGATGTTCCACCCACCCACGCGTTAAACAAGGGCAGCAAGACAGCAGCACGCCACATTGCAGTAGTCAGTTTCGTGGTATGCCAGCATTTACAATATCTTGCAAATTTGATCTGTCCCATGAGAGCGGGTGCAAAGTTGCAGTATTTAGGTCATAGCCGTGGTTATTGGGGAACTAACCCCACGCACCCCAACTAGCATGAAAACCGACATACTCAGCGACTTAAAACCTCCAAGTGAGATGTGTCCAGATCTGCAACCAGGGTGGGCCCCCTGCAGTGGATTCGCAAAAAAACTGAGCCAGAAAGCGCCTGTGAATGGCGGCACGGCACAGGCTTGCCCTGTGCCCCCTGCTTCAAAAAGGTCCTCCAGTAAAGAGGTTAGAATAAGAGTACCTTTTTGTCTGAAGTCATTTTAGTAGGGGAACCCTCCCCCAAAACAGGGTAAAAGGGCACTACAGGGGACCTAGTCAATTATTGTTGTCTCACACAGTACAGCCACAAACATGGAACACGCCCCACATTTTGAGCAAAAATGGTCCAAACGAGGACGCCTCCCCGCGTCCAAAAAGGTTCCGTATTTGTGGGAGGCTAGGCATCCATTCTTTGAACCTTAAAGGAGGCATCCTTTGCTGGGAGGCTATCTCAAATGGTGTCCACTACCCTCAAACCACTACCCCCAGGGTAAATTGAGGTATATACTGGACCGGCCCTTTGTATAGTGGCTTTATATCGTGGCTGTATATCCTATTAAACCCCTGAGGATAGCTTCGGTTTGGAGCACAAGCTGGCAGTGGATGTGGGGCAGGAGTCGAATCCCACAGTCTTTGGTCAGCTTTTCCCCTTGTCGGCTGTAACGGGAATCTATCTTCTTTCCAGGGGACTTAAGCAAATGGAGGCAATGGATGCCTGCCTAAAATGGCTTCCAGTACACAAAACAAAAACAAACGGTATTGAAGGAAGAATCAGGTCGTGCACGTCACGGGAAACAAGCTGTTAGATTGCCAGTCACAGGGCTATGTTGGTTTCTTGGTCCCTACTGTGGATGGTTGCGAAATCCACTTATGCATCAGTTCAGAAACCCTGGCATGATTCGATTTCCCGGTAAATACAAGGGTAATGGTTTCAACCATAGTTTCATTTTGTGGCGCGAAATGGATGTTGTCCATCTACAACTCGTGCCAAGGGATCCCATGCTTGAAGGCACTCATCAAATTGCCCCTAACTTACGGGCAAAGGTGATATTTTAAACCAAAGCGGGGAATTGTGGGACGCCGCATTCACAAATGGGTTGCTTAAAAGGTGTGGTTGTTTTGGTCACTTCTGAGCGAGTGTGGTCCAAGGTTTGGCTTTAGTCCAAAAACTGGCCGCCAGTCCCGAAAGCAAAAATCAGCGGGGACCAGCTGGATTTCCCCCAATCATCTTGCTGGTGGTTTCCATTCAAACGATCGAGCACCTCTCTTGGAGGTTCCCTTTGACAGGCAGCGGCTCGAACACCCCCAAAAAGGGACCTTCAACAGAACCCCCCCAAAAAAAATAATATATATATATATATATATGAAAACTTGCAGTGGTGAAGTCCAGACGTCCTACAATTCCCTGCTTTGGTTTAAAACATCACCTTTGCCCCCAAGTAAAGGCAAGTTGGTGAGTGCCTTCAATCATGGGATCCCTTGGCATGATCTGTAGATGGTTGCGAAATCCACTTCGCGCCACACAATCAAACCATAGTTGAAACCAACTGGTAGTTTCCATTGAAACGGTCGAAAACCTCTTTTGCAGGTTCCAAACACGGAAGTGGGTCCGAAACGCCCAAAAAGGGACATGAACAGAACCAACAAAGCGAACAAAAATACATCAAACTTCTCAACAGCGGTGAAGTCCTGAAAGCAAACACCAGGGGCCTGGTGCCGGCCCTTTCCCATGCATATCCCCCCCGGCCCCGACCCCCGACAGCTCCCGGCCTCAAAGTCCAGGACTCCGCAAGGGAAGTCCAGACGCGGCCGCGCCAAATGCACCGTGAACCTCGAAATCCGGGGTCCGCTTGGAGAGAAACATCCGCATGGCCGCAGTTGAGTTGAGGTTCTCAAAATGTGGTTTTTAGGCGAGTTGAGTTTCTGAAATTGTTGCTTGGTATCTAAAGGTTAGCAAAAAACGACACTCTTGCGACTTTAGGAGAGGTTTTGATAGTATTGTCAGGTTTTTCAGGGGCCGTCCCACCTCCAACGATTCAGGGTTCACTTTTGGGCGTTGGTAGGATCCCTGAAATGTTCCGGTCGTGCATTTGCTTGGGGGTACGGTGGGTGCCAACCACAGCAACTATATGTCCCCGGCGACAAACAAATCTTGGCTGCCCTCAGTGACTCAGGTCCCCCGCTAAAAGTGTAACTTTTAGTGTGTTAGATGGAAACTACCACTAAACACTAAAAGGCCAAAAAGCTAAGGAACCGGATGGCTGGGAGCCACCAAGAAATAGCAAACCTCCAGGAAAAACGGGCACACCCAATGCACGTCGCGGCCGGGCAGCGGCAACTTCCGCGTCATCTTCCAGCCCTCGAGAGATCTGAGCTGCCCTTGCTCCCGCGGCAGGTGTAGCTTCACCTGAGTGTTTCTTCGGTGCCCTGTCGCCCTTTCCGGATGGCTTAAAAAGAAACTAAAAGGAACCACAGCATTCTGGTCCAAATTTTGGTGACCTGATTTAGACGCATAGAACAGTGACAAACGCTTTTGGAAAAACTGAGTCCCCCTGGTAAATGGTTTAAGCCACACTGAAGCAAACTTGCCAAACGAGCCTAGGAGTCAGTCAGTTGCCCAATGCAATCAGCGACTCTCCTGGTGGAAAAAATAGACAGTTTCTGTTTGGGGCTACGCCCATTGATAACACACATTGTCTCCATCAAAGTCACATTCTTAAATGGGTGTGGATCAAAATCCAAGAACTAGGGTTACGCAGCTTCTACGTAGTCTTTGGTTTCATTTGCCAAGGGTTCCATTTTGGTACATGTGTTTGAGCCACAGCCATATAATTACCTTGCAACGTGTCCATGCCTCGAACCAGATCTCCGACGCCGAGGAGCCGTACAGCTTTTCTTCCGGGATGCTGGTCTCTCGCTAAACAGGGATCCGGATGCATTATACACCTGAACATTGCCTTGTAAATGGTGGTTTCCCTTTATTTTGGTGGAAAAGACCGTGTTTCCAACGGGCAGAATGTATCTTTTAAGGCGCCCTGCTAAACTGTATGGGCTGCTCGTCACCTTCGACTTGTCGGATTAGCTTGCTCAACTCTCCAGTGGCCGAAGCGACTTGTGAGGAGTGGACGTCGGATTGACTTGTAGACACAAGTTAGTTGGCTGATTGTAGCTTGCTTGGCGTCTTTGTTTCTACTGCGCTGGAGAGGCAAGGTGGGTCAGTCAGGATTGCTCAATGGTGAAAATCACTGGAAATGCCGCGCCGCTGGGGACCCAGCGCCAAAAGCGCGCGAGCCACGCGACTGATCGTCCGAGTTGCTTGGCCTGGGCTCAGCAGCGTGGCGCGGTTTTTGTGCCGAGGCAGCAGGCGACATCGCAACGAGGAGTTCACCAAAAGCACCGCCTTGCTGCACCTGAGCAGTGAGAGACGGATCCGAGCGGACCGAGGAACCTCTGCAAGAAGTGAAGAGGGTGTAGTCCCCGAGTTTGAGCTTTTTGGCCCAAGAATAAAGTGATGAAGCTTGCTTTCATGAGTTTAGCCCCTATTACATCCAACCCGTTCTCTCCAGGGACCCTTCTTTTCAGAGACAAACGTCAGGTCCCATAGAATTGCGGCGGCGTGTAAAATCCTGCATGATCCTGCATGCCAAATAAGTAACCTTCATATACCCTCATATGCCTTGATCTTAATATATCTTCATGGCCTGTCCTGCGTATATCAGGGACCCTGCCCTCCCCCAAACCCGTTTTTTCAAAAACCAATCCGCCAGATCCGGGAGGTGTGGTCTGCCCCATCTGCCAGCAGCACCGCGGCCGCATAAACCGCGCGGTTGATGCGCATCCCATAGCGCGAGGATTCCAGGCGAATCCGCGAATCCAAATCTCCCCCCCAGCAAAACAAAAACACTGGGCTTGGAGCTTGGAAGGTTGGGGGATTCAGATTCGCTTTGTTTGTTGGGGAGGGATTTGTTTTGCTTTGTTTGTTTGTTTGTTTGTTTGTTTGTCAAAACCAACCAACAATCCCATTGCGTTTGTTTGTTTGCTTTTGGGTGGGGGGTGGAGATTGCAAGGTTGAAGGGGTTTGGGGGCGGTTGGGGAGTGGGCCACGCAACGAGCTGCATGCATGGTGCTTTGGTTGGGTTTGGCTCCGGTACTTGGGTTTGTTGGAGTTGTTTGGTTTGTTGGTGTTCGGTTGGCTTGCTTGCTTGGGTGGGTGGGGAGTGGCTCATTTGCTTGCTTGTCTGTGTTTTACCTTCTCTGAGTTGCAGCTGCAAAAACATTTACACTTCTGGTCCAGTGGATTTGCCGAAGAAAAAGTCTAGACTTGTTGTTTTCCACTCCTTAGATGCCCAGTGGCCACGGTAAAAAAAGGGGCACCTGTTTTTGTTGGTTGAGTTTAACAGGGAACCCTTACCCAAAAAGCAGGAAAAAAGGCACCACTAGGCAACAAAGACTCAAATGGTCCACCGAAAGTCACTGAAATCCAACTCCGGGAGTGTGAAGATTCAAGGTTCACCGGTACTGGGGCCTTGTCTAGAGGCATGGATCAACAAGCACGCACATTTGCCACTAAAATGGGCTTCAGCCTCTCAAGCAACCGCAGAGAACCACACAGCAGCTGAGATATGATTTACATCTCTCAGCTTAGCCCAAGCCTGCGAAGCCAGTGCTTCCGTGCTTCTCCTTGGAACAAGCCGACGCCCGGCCGACGCCCAGTAAAAATCGCGGATGTCCAGAATTTGGGTGGCTCGTCATTTTTTAGCTTACCCGTTTCTTGGAGTGCCAAAGCCATCTTGGGGATCCCCCAAAAAAGAGCGCCAGGGACTCAACGCGGTGCTAACATATTTGGAGCCGACGTCAGATTCGAGTGAAGACTCCTCTTCCGGTCGGGGGAAAAGGGGCACCTTGTGTTTGCTGGCTGATTTTAGGACCCCCTCGGGCAGGTCAGCGGTCGCGCACAGTTGGCCGGTTGACATGTTTTGGGTTGACGTGTCTCGTGGTCAGCACATAGGGGCCCAGGAAGCCAAAACACTGGCCATGGGAAAAAGGAGCAACTTCCAAAAGGAGGAACACAAGAAGTAACTAAGTCTGTGAATTGGAACGGCCATTGCCCCATCTCTTGGCCCTCTCCACGGGAATGACCGCCATGGTCCTTCAAAAGGATCCCTTTCCGGTTCACTCCCAACTGTTTGGTGTTGTTTTAAAGGGAAACAAAAGGGACACCAAGCAATTGTTGCGTGCGCTCCGTATTTTCAAGAAACCCACATGGCAGATTCTGGCCAAAACAACGCTCACTTGGATCAAGGACGCGGAAACAGAAGGTGTCAAACGGGTAATCGTCAAAGACTCTGACTAAACATAGGCCAGTACTGGAACGCCACAAAGCTCAACGGGATCTTGTCGGCACTTGCCAGAAGGACACCATCACTGAGGGCGCTGCGTCCTCTCCTGCGGCAGCTTGCAAAGTGCATACGTGTGTGTGTGTGTGTGTTTCTTCCGCCGAAAAAAAACAGGAACACAACAAAATAAGAAAAAAACAACATATACGTGTGTGTGCCGAAAGGCCCATGACACAAATTTGGGCAGTGCTCAATTTTTGGGCTAGTCCGTATAGGCCCTCCTTGGCTTCCTTTTTGTGGGGCTTTCCCAATTGGCCGAAACAAACAAAGCTGCTCAATGTAGGAAAACCACGCATTTCCTGCTCCCTTGCAAGTTGTGATGGAACCCTACAAGGGGGCCCAAAAGGAGTTTCTTCTACAAATCATGTTCTTGGGTGCCATGTTAGCCTGGAGAGGAACATAACTTTTCAACTCCGCCCATCTGCACGTCTCCGCCACATGATTCCCCTCTTTTCCTCCGCATAGTCCCGCAGCTTTGGCGGAAAGGCTGTGTTACACCTATACTTTCAGGTGTCTCAACATGACAGCCCCTTGTCTTGAAGGACTACATGAGTGGTATCTATGTCGAAACGCTGGTACTTTTGATTTGAAAGGAGGCTCCCAAGATAAACGCAACAAGTGAAATCCAGTGGTCAACTGTCAATGGGGCCGTCACAAACACCACTACGAGGACTGTTTGTTGTGGGATGAAAGGTGAGGTTGCAAACAACCACAAGGAAGAGAGCGCTGTGCAATCCGCATTTGGAACGTTTAAAAATGAGAGACAATAACCAAACCACTGAAGAGAGGTCCCGTGTAAGGCACCTGCACCAATCTGCAGGACTCCTCCTGTCATGGGACTCCTCCCGGGTTAAATAAAGCCGGGTTGTGAAGGCGATAGACCAAATCCTGTGCATGGACCAAATCCTGCACTGTGAAACCATTGGTGGGAATTACGGGAACTGAATGATTTCAGAGAGGATTTCGTCCACAGTAAAGCCCAGCAGGCAGCAGGGACCCGGTCCCATTGAGACCTTGGCCTCGGCTCTCAGCTCAGGAACTCGCGGCCGCGACGGCTTCGTCGCGGCGCCTCGAGCCCGGTGGCTTGGAGGATCGACGCGGTGTGCCACAAATCGCTCAAGAAGATTCGGTGGGCCAAACGAATCCAAACCACCGAGGCACTTGCGGCAGACATGTCTGAATGCTGGAAAACAGAGGCAACATATAGCAAACCAACGAGGCTTACCCAACCAAACGGGGGTTCGGGCCAGTCAAAAGTCCTTGTGTCCAATGCTTGTCTAAATCAAGGAGTTGATGACCATATGGGCAAGGGGGAGCCCCAAAAAAGATTTCTGCGATGCTTCTGGTGTCCACTTAATCTAACTTCCATTTGCTTATTCAGTCTCGGGGCCCTGGAAAAATGAAGCATAGGTGGATTCCCCTGAATACCTACAGCGAAAAATATCAGGTGTCGTTTCCAAGAAGAAGAACCAATCTGACAAGCTGGCGTTGAAGCAAATTGACTTCGCAGGGTACTTATCATCCCAACCTTTTATGGCAATTGGTATTCCAAATATTGGTGATGTCCCTTGAGTTGACTTCCCTAACATATTTTATGCTAAAAGGTATTTCCAGGCATATTTGGGTTCATTCCAACCTTTTAGGGAACAGCCCTGGAGGCTTAGCTGTCCTGGCGTCTTCATTTGGCCCAGACGCCCAGACCTCCACTTCACAACCCTTGGCATGGTAGCAAACAACTGTGCTTTTTGCAGCCCCCTACTAAAACGCAACAGTGCAAAAAAAAAGACGTGATCCCCCCACAAAAACGGAACAGTGCCACAAAAAACAAGAAAAACAAAACAAAAACAGAAGAAAAAAAACGGAACAGCGCCCAAAACAACAAACAACACAAACACTTGATCCCCCCACAACGGAACAGCGCCCAAAAAAAAACCAAACAAAACAATCACTTGATCCCCCCCAAAAGAAAAACGGAACAGCGCCCAAAATAACAAACAAAACAAACACTTGATCCCCCCACAAAAACGGAACAGCGCCCCCCCCCCAAAAAAAAATAAATAAATGAAAATCACTTGATCCCCCCCCCCCCCACCCCCCCAAAAAACAAAACAAAACAAAACAAACACTTGATCCCCCTCACAAAAAAGGAGCAGCGCCCCAAAAAACAATCAACACAAACACTTGATCCCCCCCCCACAAAAACGGAACAGCGCTCAAAAAACACAAAACAAACACTTGATCCCCCCCACAGAAAAGGAACAGAACCAAAAACAACAAACAAAACAAACACTTGATCCAAGAACAATAACGTCCAGTACTCACCCTCCAGCCGAGTCGCCTCCGGCGGCGAAGTCGGTATCCACGGCAGCGGCGGCAGAGTTGCCATGACGGGCATCACGGTGTTCCACGCCGTGGCAGCGACGGGCACATAGGGCCGCGGGCCGTACAGCAGATTCGAGATGCCAGGGATCTGGGTCCTGAGATGCGCAGGTGATCTGTGGGATTTTGTGGGAGCAATCTGGGTGCACTTCCAGCATGGGATCCCTTGATGTGATTTGTTAGGTTCATTCACTGCACGTGGATGGACGAAATCCATTTCGCACTTCTTTGACATTTGCAGGGGAGCCGAATAATTCCGTGTTTTCTGAACGGCGGTGCGGGATACGGATGTCGCAGGCGTGCCAACGCGTAATGACGGTGATTCCCTTGGCAAGGGCTAAGATAGATCTTTGCAACTTGGTTTCGGTAGGCAGTGCCAAAAAGAGAGCTTGCTTTCGATGTTTCTACATGTCCCAGGTGATTCGTCGGACCCGGATTTGTGCTTCCATTTCCCATTTATCTGTTGTGGAGAACTCGATCTCACCCATCAACTAAATAAGCCCAAGCGGTATCCCCGACAGCCCCTGACCCTCCTGGAACCCAGAACCCTCCGCGAAAGCTGCCCCAAACCGCCCCAAAATTTATTTAAGGTAGCACAGGGCACGCATGGATGATGTGTGCAATCACACCGGTCCAACCAGGATTTGACACTGCGCTTAGATGAACTCTTCAAATACGCAGTGATAGATTCCCTTTAAACCCAACGCGAGAAAACTACGCATCTCAAGCAAATGGAAGTATACCTTGCCCCAATTGTCTAGGGCCCTTTTTTTCAAGGCAAATACCTCCTTTTGTGAGTTAATGGGTTGACATACCCTAGTATGTAGCTTCACTGCCGTAGGGGCCAGAGGCCAAGGAGCATGGGCTGAATCTGCTGGATGGTTCCCCACTGCAGGTCCTCGGAGGAAAGACCGAGACGAGGCGACCCACTTTTTGTCGGGGAGTCACGGGCCAAAATGGGCAGGCGCTTTTTTGAGGGTAGTTATTTTCTCGGTTGGTTCAACACATTTCTGTGGTCCGCCTATTTTGCCACATACCCAAGAAGCTTTTGGTTTTCGCTTGGCAAATCTGGTCCAAAGGCCGATTTGACTGAGGCAGCTAAGGCACCTCACTTGCTAACAAACAAATAATAGATTGCGCCCCGACTCTAATGATAAACCCTGACAAAGAGCTTCAAGCATGGAAACTGAAGGGCTAAGTTCCGCTTGCAGCTGTCACAGTTGATCACTCAATTTTCAAGTGAATCCCTACTGTGGACGAAATTCATTTCGCACCCTTAAAAACCCTGGCAAGATTCGATTCCCCCGTAAATGCTAGGTCAAGTTCACTTCTCCAACAGTTGATCTGCCGATTGCACATGCACCGCTTTTGTCAAAGATACACATATTATTTATAGATTCCCTTCAAAACGAGAAAGGGATTTGTTTTGCGAAGTATGAATTTCAGCGAATGGAAGCCATCAATTTACACTAGGTCCTCCGATAGAAAATCAGGGTACCCTTTTTCCTGTAGTCTATTTGATTTGAGGGGAACTCTCCCCCAAAGAAGAAACGGCAAAAGGGCACTGGGGGACCTACAGGTGCCCGCATATCGCCGAGTCGCCGCTGTCGGCTCCCTGGGGGCGGGCGCCGCTCTCGGCTCCGGCGCCGCAGCTTTCGGCGCCGGAGCCGGCGCCGGCGCTGCGGCGTTCGGCGAAGGCGGCGGCCCGGGAGCCGCGCAGTGGAGCCCAAGGAACTTCCGAGCCTGGAGACCGGCAACAAAACCAAACCACAACCAAAATAAACAACAACAACCAAAACAACTAAACCCAAAACAATCACAACTACAACCAAAACAAACAACTGCTACAACCAAAACAGCCACAACCACAACCACAACCAAAACAACAACGAGGTCCTCCAGTAGAGAGCTTAGAATAAGTTGGTACTCGTTTTGTTTTTCTTGCTCTGTAGTCTATTTTAGTGGGGGAACCCTCCCCCAACAAAAGGTGAAAGGGCAGTACTGGAAAACCTAGACAACCAACAAAACACAACAACAGTAATAATAACAAAGAACATGTAGCATTCAACTCGTGGAACTTGTGGGGTGGCCCCGGCTAAGAGTGAATAATGCTGAGTGGGTGAAATGGACACCCAACCCAACTAAAACTAACAGCCTAAGTTGAACCGCACGGCTAAGAACAGCTACGCTTATTTTCGGGGGGTACACCCAAATGTGAGGGGTTTGCACCTTGACTAGTTCGCCACCAAAATTTGGTCCAACCCCAGAAGTGTTTAAAGTCCATGAGTCCAAGGAGTCAGGAAAAGAATCCCCACAAAGGAGGCAAACGGTCTCAGGAAACTGGGGCAAACACTAAAATCGGCGAGTGACGGCTCTCAGCACCGGCTCATTGTCCATGCCTCAGCTCGATTCCCGTGGAACATACATGCTAATATAACTATATATATATATATGTATACACATGTGCGTATATGGTATGTATAATATATATATATATATATTTCTACATGTGTATATATGGTATGTCTATACATATATATGGTGGTTGTTCTAAATTCCTTTGTCTCGAAACGGCCATTCTTCGCGTATAAAAAAGTATAAAACAGTTACTTTCGCGAATCTTTCGCGGATTCATCGCCGTGCCGTTTTCATTGCTCAAGTCAGACAATCGCAGCTTTTAAGTGCCAGCGTAGTGCGCGAAATGCGATTCCCCAACTCCAGCTGTAAAGTTGCAACTTTTCATCACAGGGGTAGTACATGACATGAACCGGCTGGAAAGTCGCAGCTTTTCGTAAGCCGTGCAGCTCTAGCTTAAAGTCGCAAGTTTCCAGTACCAAGCTAGGAAACTGACTAGCGAGACGCTCAGAAAGTACCTCCCCCTTGCAATCGAAGCCTGCGCTTTCGCGCGGGCTTTCGCAGATCTCTCGCGGAACTTTCGCGAAAAATCACCCACGTTTCAGAGCGGAAAGCCACCGAGCAAACACCCACAGACGCACATACACAGGCTTGGAGCACCAACCAGCCAAGCAGGGTATCAAACTGTAGCCTCACCTGGCTTTATCACTTTATCAGTGCAAAGTCAACAAAGTGTTTTAATCAGCTTAGAAGGAAGGCTCAGCAGCAAAGATAAATGGTTTCACATATCATTGAATTACAAGATACAGTTACGCAAAACTTTCGCGAGAAAAAAAAGTTGCTTTCGCAACTCCATCGCGAATCTTTCGCGGAGCTACCTCAACCAACACCGATGGTCGCCGAATTCTAAACTCCTTGCAAGGACCTTCAGAACGACTCCCACATGCATATGTGTATATGTGTAGATATATATGTATATATACGCATATATATATATATATGTACATACTGTGGATGGGCGACCACCTAAGAAACCCTGAATTGTTGATTTCCCTGCGAATTGTTGATTTCCCTGCAAATTCCAACCAACAATCACTTCCCATGGAATCAAAGTGGTGCAGGACTTTGTCCATCACACAGTATATATAAAAACGTGTGTGCTTCTGTGGACTTACATTTTGTTGTTGTTTGTATACACATATGTATACACGCATGTACAAAACTCATGTAGCATATATGCACATATTATATGTATATATATATGTATGTTTTAAATGTGTTGCTTTCTTGCCCCGGCGTTCCCTCTTCCAAAGGGCTTCCCCAAAAGGAACGTACCCTTTCAGAAGCCTGCCACCCTCCGTGATTCGAAAGGTCGCCCAGCTAACCGAACAAAATACCAGATCTTTTTTCACTGGGGGTCTGGTGATACTACCCGGTGCACGTGGATGCCTTCTAATTGCCTGTGTAGTAGGTAGTCATTTAAAGCCAAAGGGAAAAATATAGTTGATGAATGTGCTTCTTTGCGACCAACCGGTCTAGACAAACAAGTTTAACCTGTCAAGTCCTGAGCGCAAGCATGACAAAGTGGGGAATCCCTTCACAGGTGGATTCGCCAACATTGAACTTCTTGGGCCGCATGAGAGAGAGGCATAGTTGGTTCAGTGGGTGGGCTTCCCTGTAACCCACAAGTTAAATCACCTTCAGCGGGTCAGAAATCCAACAGCCCAGGTGAGTGGACGGCATACAGAAAGAGCTGCACCTGGTTGGGCGATGCTGGGCGCGTGCCCACTAATTGGTGCTTTGGAGCCGAATCGGTGATTTGGTGGTGAATTGGAGGGGTTTCCCATTTACCCTCTACAAGAAGCAGGGCTTCAAATCCAATTCCAAACCACCAATCGAAACCACCAATTCTCGGTTGCTGTCTGCTCCCCTGCTAAAAGTTGTCCACTTTGACTAGCTTAATGAAAACCCATTAGTTGGCCAAAAAGCTTAAAAGTCCCAACATCCAAGCAACATGCAACAAAGAACTGGTGCCAAACCACCAATCGAAACCACCAATTCAGGAGTACCCGAAACCCAGGGACGGTTCGATGCCTCCCCAGTTGGTGGGAAGCTGAGCATAGACAAGCTGCTGGCCAGTTGGAGTCGCATGCAGCTGCCCGAGCTGAGCGGAGCGGCTCCACCGTCCTGTCGAACTGGGGACGCTGCACTCGCAAGGTTTGCGCGCTGTAAAATTCAACCTGGCGGAGCTTCTTTTTACGGACCCCCGCCCCCACCCCCCCAAAAAAAACGATTGTGTTGTTTTTTTCCCTGTTGGTCGCCTTTAAGGCCAGAAAAGAAAGGTGATCTCAAAGAAACGCACAAAGCCCATTCCGTCCAAGGCTGAAGTTTTGGTCCGGCGCTCTCCTGGCGTTCTTGGATGATGCCGTAGCGCGAGAAGTTTCCGACCGGCCCCAGCTTGTTGTAACTGGCCTCAGGCTCCCGGAAGCTGGGTGTCGAGGGCTGAAAATGGCGGAAACCACCGACCCCCCAATCATGTGTCCTCCATTGATTTCCCCAAGGATTTTCATCCAAATTGGGTCAATCAACCGTTCTTTAATTGGGGCAATGAAATTCAGGGTATCTCCCACCACTCAACATGGAACCTGACTTTCGGGGGGTCCTGGTAGACCATTTTCCGTTTAAAGGGACCGGGTCCCTGTCAGGTTCCATGTTGATTGGTGAGAGGGTAAAGGGAAACAGCCAAGATGTTGGTTAACATCTAGTTGTTAAAACCTACTTAAACAAGACCCTGAATATGGGTGTTACTTTGGTTTGCAAGTAAATGCAACTCTCCTCTAGTCAAGAGCATTGATGGCACAAAAACATCAAAACACCATATTGTGCGGCAGTTAAGTGGACTCTGGTTCGCATTGCTCAATTCGTGTGCTTCTATGCCACATCCAATGTGAGGATCCTACCAGGAAAGGAGAGCCCTCCTATCATACAAGCTAACAGGATGGTATGAGCGCTTCCTGGGGAAGACTCCCATGTCCCCATGTTGGAATCGTTGCTTGGCATGTTCTTCCTAAAAAAATACACGAAAAATATGCCCACATCCTGTTTCCCCGCATCCCAGTTGGGAATGACCCAGGGTTTGGGAATGAACATGGGGATGTCCTTAAGGGAAGCTATAGGTCATGTTTGGGGGTCATTCCATTTCTCATTCCCTGCCTATCGCACCAGCAAGTAAAATCTGAAATCATGTCAAGATTGATCCCTTCCGGAGACCAGCAACACCTGCGCAAGAGCACAACATGATGCTGCGAGGCTGTTTCCAGCGAGCCGCTGTGAGCTCGCCACCACTGGGGATGTCCTTCTCAGCTATGACCTTGACGTTACCATCCTCGCCAGGCCGCATCAACAAAAGCGAACCCCCACTAAACACAGAAAAAGCGAAACACCTAAGCTAGGTCCTGCAGATTTGAGAGGTTAGAATAGGGGTACCAACTTTTTGCTGTAGTCTATTGTCGTAGGGCAGCCCTCCCAACCAAAAAAGGGGTGCCAAAAGTTGGCACCTAGCTGGGGCACCTAGTAAGGAACTTGATGGCTGGGATCCACCAAGTGGACGTAAGCAGGACACAAACCGCTCGAATCGCCAAAAGCTTAACTTTCAGTGGGTTAAATGGAAACACCCATTTAAACCCAGAAAAGATCCACACCAAAGGAACTGAATGGCAACCACCAAATGGAGAAAACTCCCCCAACAGTAAGCAGGACAAAAACCCGATCCAATCGCCGGGTCTCCGTGTCACAGCTCACCTGCACGTTGGCCGCCGAGTGGTTCACCCAGTCCGCCACGGGTGCTAGCTGCCTTGGAGCCAAAGCCCGTGGTCTGCAAACAGTTGACATGCTTCTTTTTTAGGGGTACGTTCTTCCATTCTTTCCAGGAAACCACCAATTCTCGGTTGCTGTCTGCCCCCTGCTAAAAGTGACTAACTTTTAGTAGTGTAATACGGAAAACCGATTAGTTGGTCAAAAAGTTAAAGTTCTAACATCCAAGCAAAATGCACCCTAGCTTGCGTCTTTTAACTGGGCTGCCCGATTTCCGATCCCCTGCTAAAAGTCTATCTTCTAGCGGGTTACATGGAAACTACCACTAAGCACTAAAACGCTAAAAGGCTAAGGAACCGGAGGGCTGGGAGCCACCAAGTTAAGACAGGTGTCATGATCTCTGTCTCTGGAAGTGCTCAAAGTCAGGACATGGGGCGCGTTTCCCTTTCACCCACCACTCGGGTGACTCTGGTGCTAAAATCAGGAGGCCAGGAGGTAAAATGAAGGTCACCCCGCAGCTTGGGCCCAGCTCGGCACTCCGAAATTTTAAAACAAAAATCCACATTTAGCCTGCCCTGTCTGACAAAAAACCATTGGAGGAGACTTGTCTGGGGCAAAAGATTGCAAAAGGCAAGTAAGTTTGGTGATGCTGCCACCCGCAGTTGCCGAAGTTGGAAGTCTCAACGACCGCGCGGCCCCACAGGGCGTCTGCGAAGGTCAGATGTGGATGGACCTAGCAACCGGAGCACGGATGCAACCTACTCACCATGGGGCTCATTTGTCCGAGCAGTTGTCTTTTTGAGGGTACCCCGTTTTTGTCGTTGTAAGCGGAAACCACGAGAAACCCACCCAAAAAAAACAACACACCCAACTGATCTCCCTGATAATGGGTTTTCTGGTGGCCGGTGTCCTCCTCAGGATGCTTGAAGACCCATTTTGTTGCATTCATCCCTCCTGTGTAGTTTCAATTCGCTTCTTGTTCGTGTTGGACTCGGATAGGGGGGGGTGCCATATGACTAGGAGCATGTCAGCCCTTCAGTGGCCATGGTAAAGACGAAGAAAATGCACTGGAGCAATGGCAGGGAAGCCATTGCCATCTGCACAGGGAAACTAACATAAGGTCTTGAAACATGAGGTTTGACATTGAACCACCTAAACAGTTCCGAGTTCACATCACCCCCCCGCCCCAGTTCCTGAATGCATGAAACATACCTGCTTGGCAAATGGTCCGAAGGTCTCCTTTGAGGGGGTTTACGCGAAGCTTTACCCTTGGTAGGGTAGCACAAAACTGACTGTTTTGCGCAGCCCAGAAACAATAAAACAAACCAAACAACCAGAACAACCAAACAACTTGCCAACTTGCAGGCCCTACTGAAAAAGCTGAAACACACAAAAACAAGCAAAAACACTTGCCAACGACACCAAATCAGACAAACACACAACTTGATCCAACAACAGCGAAGCAAGGTTGCCCCTAACTTGCAGGTTTAACCGAAACTAAGTACCACTAAACCAACTAAAGAAACAAAAATAAATAAATAAAAAACTAAGCTGAACTGGATGGCTGGCTCCCAGCCACCCAGTAAGGACACCCCCCCTCCCCCCCTTGCCACCCGGGGCCCCCGCCTTGGCTCGGTTATAGGCGCCCACCGCTGCGAGCATCTCCCCGCGGCTCTGGCGGATCTTCGCGGCCATGGGCTGGAACTCCGGGGCCTTTCGGGCGCCCAATGGGACCTGGAGCCTCCATGGCCCTCGAAGAAAAATCCGTCCAGGACCCCCCGTGATGTTGGGGTAGTGACTCCATTTTCAAGGGTCATGGGGACAAATACGCGCGGCTCAAAGTCCGAGAGCCACGGCAAGCCGCGGGTTTTGGTCTTTGGTTCTATTTGCCAAGGTGCCATTTTGGTTCATGTTTTTGGCCACCGCCAAATAGGAGTAACGCTAAATAACACCCGTCGAAAAGAAAGGTCCGTTGCCCCCTTGGGAAGAAACACGAGCGCTTTACTAGGCCGATTTCGGGAGAAATGCTCAGGAGGTGCCCTTGAGAAAGGTGCCCTTCGCCTCGTCCCAATCTCCCCTTTCTTACCTCCCTGATTCCCTGGCATCCGTTTTTGGGGGCAACAGGAAGACCTTTTAAGGGGATTGGAAGGAAGAAAAGAAGGGCAAGCTTCCGGCCCCGCATCTCCAAAAACGTGCGACGCTCGTTGATTTTGCTTCATATCTAGTCCGCGCGAACCCACGCTAATAATATTCTTGTTGTTTTTCGTAATAAGGGGAAGATGCCAAAGAGCTGGGGTAAAGGTCAACCAGTAAACCCTTTAGGCTATCTTTCCACATAAAGTGCCATATTTAGTCCACGCTAGTAAGTTAATGGCTTGAAGCATGGTGAAATCCAACATGTTCCTTTTGGGGTAAAGGTAAACAAGTAAAACCTTTGGTGCATCGATCCACATGAACCCTTAAAGCCAGGGTCCTACCTCCAGTAACCTCCATCCCTCCAAAAAACAAATTTCCCATAGTGAGAACTTCCTTTGAATACGAGGCGACAATGAAAACACACATTCATTTCAGCAAATGGGAGGTAAACCCCCAGTAACTCAGTTCCGGAGGTTGGCCAACAAAAATATCAAACTTGTTGTTTGCCACTAACATGACCTGGGCTGTCCTCAGATCCCCTGCTAAACGTTAACCTTTTTGTGGCTTAAACGGCAACCAACCACTAAACAAACCAAGAACAACTAGAAAACCCAAGTTGACCCCAACGATTCGCCGGGAACCGCTAAAATGTCCAAACCCAAAAAGAACCGTCGCAAGTCCAAGACGTACCTGGAGTCCCCATGACCCTCCAAAAATGGTTGGTCACCCCTGAAAAAAATTGGGTGACTTCGATTTTTGCTGGGTCATTCATGGAGACCCCAGGCAGCAAGCAAACCTCTTCCGCCACTTTGGGCCCATCTCATCTGGCTCTCGCGCGCGCGTTCTCCGCGCGCGCGCGCGCCTGGGCCAGGAGCGCCAGAGCCTTCTCCGAGGCGACCAGCGGGACGCCCAGCGCCTGAAAGCGCCAAAGCTCGCATCTGACTCAGGTCCCATCGAGTGAGCGCACTGGACCAACCAACCGGACCAAGCAAGCAAGCAAGCAAGCAAGCAACCAACCAACTAGGGGACCAGCCCTCTTATTAAAAAAGAAAAACAAAAAACAAACTAGCAGCTAGGAATACAACAAAATTCAGATCCACTGCAACAAAAACAAAGAAGCAGACCTTTTTTGCCACGGCAATGGCCTTCCCAAACCCAAGTGACGAAAGTTGCGATGGACTCAGGGGGTGAGTTGCAAAAGGAAAACCGTGTTGGAATTGACTCACCTTGCCCCGAATGGGTGGCTTGATGTAGTGTGTGTTTGCCTAAAACCTTATGGCCCAGGTCACTCCTAGGGCGACATAAAATAGCAACACACAAAAGACGCATAACCAGGTGCAACCAGCGGTATGTCTGGTAGAAACATCTTTGGTGAAGGGTTGATCAGTCGGAGCTTGCCAAAAGGCCTGTCCGGTGGACGGCACCAATTGAGAGTCCATCTTTAGTGAGGAACCCACCTCAACAACAACTGGTACCAAATTGCCACTCAGTAATTAAAAGTGACACTCGTTAAACCCGAAAGGTCCTGTTCTGAAAGGACCAAACAAAGGCTGTATCACAATGCAGGCGGTCTAAGAATGCATGCTAAAACGGACTTTTTCAGGAACGCCAAACAACTGAGTTTTTAACAACGATGCTTTAAACATGGACCAGGGCCAGCTCTTTGGATTGAAACCCCGATGAGTTGAGGTTCAAACTCGTCGCATGTGTCAAAGACTTCCCCACAAACGTCTAGACCAACACCCAAAATGATGACAACAACAAAACAGCAGTACTGATAATTACATTTAATGATTATGACAATAATATGAACCAACATATGTGTATGCATATACCTGTATATATATATATATACACCAAAAAACAAAACATACAAATCCCAGCCTCCAACTCCTTGAGGGAAGGGTAGGCCTCGATGGCCTTCCTGGGATCAAGGCAAATCCCCTCAGTTGGGACTCCTTCTCGGCTTCTCGGTCCAAGTGAGTCATGCGGATGGTTGAAATCGAAATCCGAGACCGATTTCGCCACGAAATGAGTTGCCATGGGTGAAACTCTTGTTTGTTGGTATTTACAGTGGAATCGAATCATTCCAGGGTTTCCTGGGTGGTGCAGGATTTTGTCCGTCCGCAGCAATATAGCTCTGTATTCTTTCTCCAGGCGACCCTTGTGTTTTTGTGGTTTTAAATGGGGTCCAACAGGAACTCCATCATTTGGGGGGGTGCCCTAAAAACGACGCTCCCATCTGGTACTAAAGTGGTCTGCACAAACATTGTCTGGTCTCGGAAAGGTTGAAGGGTAACCTCGGGAACCCGAACTGTTCACTTGGGACGGGATATGCAAAGGTCCCGGAAACTGAAAAGCCCTCGCTCACCCCTGCGCTTTGGTTTGCTGGGGGGTTGAAACCAAAGAGGCGAAGAGTTCAGGCAAGCTAAGGCTGACCCCCCCGAAAGCACGACGCAAATGGGGGGAGGGGGGGGTGGGCGTGGGGGGTGTGAGGTTGGTCCTGCTTCTTTCAGGCCAGCCAGCAACCCAGGAGGCTCCTTGTGGGCCTTCGGGGGACAAGCATAGCATGGCTCCAGGACTTTTAGGGCGGGCCGATCAATTGTCCAATAAGGCAGTCTACAAAGGAAGCTGAGTGCTTTAGTGAGCGCTTTAGCAGCTTAGCACCTCTGGGTCAAAAACCACCCACTTGGAGGGTAACCTGCGCCTGCCAAGTGAAGATCAAATGTTGCGACCACCAGACTCCTGGAACAAAGGGTAACGTAGGGGTAAATAAGCTCCAAATATGCTAGGTCCTCCAGTAGAGAGGTTAGAATAAGGGTACCCCTTGTTTCTGTAGTCTATTTTAGTAGGGGACCAAAAAAGGGTAAAAGAGCACTAGTATGGCTTCACTGTCAGATTTTTGCTTTGGGGTTGGGTTTGGGACCCGGTCACTGGGGGAAGTCGTTGAAGGGAACGATTGCTATTTCTGCTTACCTGACGTGCAGAGCCTGCCCCCACTCCCACCTCCCGCCCTTCCGAGGCTCTGCCAAAAGGGATCACCGCCGCCCTTGGCCCTGGCCTGCAAGGGCGTCCGCTTGACTGTCAAAGCCTGAAGGGCAAACCTACAAACAAACAAAACCAACCGACCGACCAACCAACCAACCAAAACACACACACACAGACACACATCTCACACACACACAACGCTCGAAGTCAGAGGAAGGCCCCTAAGACAGATCAATGGATTCCTTGGCTCAAGTTGAGTGAGAATTCAGAGGCCAATGGCTTCGGAGTTTTGATTCGGAACGCAACCGACATCTTGGTGTCGATGTTTGATTCGGAATCCCCTACTCTTAAACCCACACAGCTTCACTGGGGGATGGAGTTCTGAAGCGAGCGGCTTCCAAAACCGCCCTAGCCAGGAAACAAAGAAAATACAAATGCAATTGCTGCAGGAGTGGGGCCCCCCACTTACTTTCTTAAGCCTAGGACCACTGCTACGCCGCTACGCCGCTACGCCGCTACGCCCTATATTGCAACTTGAAAACAACCCAAATTTGAGAGTCTAAAGCCAAGCGGCTTAGCCGAGGACTGTTGCCCGATATGGTACTCCACCGAGAAAAACACGAAACGGCGTGGCTCCGGCGAGCGAGCCTCTGCAAGCTGAAGCCCCAGGCGGCAAGCATCGCTGCGGCAGAACTCCCTGATGAGGCGAGCGGAGCCAAGACTCATGTGGGTGGCTCCTTCTTTCTTGGTTGCTGTTGACCCCCCTGCAAAAGGTTCCACTGTTTGGGGGGTTTAGTGGAAAACACCTTTATTTCACCAAAAAGTTGAAGTCTGAAGATCCAACCCAATAGCAGTCAAGATGTGGGTGTCTCCTTTTTGGAGGGTACTCATGTGTTGTGGTTTCAACGGGAAGCCAAGGGGACAACCACCCATTGAAGGGGACCCCTCAAAAAACACACCCATGTTCAAAGGACCTCAACTCATGCCGCTGGCTGTCAGATAGCCTTTGGTTTCCCGTTGGGGGGGATGAGGGGGCAAACCTCCACCTCCGCTCAATTCCTTCAATCCCGCAGGTGAGTTGCGAAGAACCATGTTGGGACTCATTGCACCCCACTAAGAATCACAGGAAACTGTTGAATGGACTTGACCCGGGGGAAGTGCCCCTTGACTAATTGGGTTGCAATTTAGTTTGAAGGAAAAACCACACATTCACGCAGTTTCTAGATTCCGAGCGCTTCTTACCCCCGCAAAGGTGAGCCTCGAAGCGCACGTGCAAACAATTCCAATGGCGCATGCAATCGTCTTGGGGAGGTATATTGCAATTCACACTCCCTGCACGGACTGGGCAAGACAAGTCCAGACTAATTGTATACCACTAACCTCTTGGGCAACATCCGGGGTACAGAAAATGATATATTCTCTGAGCCTGCTCTAGTTGTTCAGTCTACCCAAGAATTTATGAACTAGTTTTGGAGGAGACCGCAGAAATCATATTCCTCAAACCTCTAAATACCGAAAAGTGGGAAGTGGCAACTCGGAAGTCTGCAGCCCCCTAAGTCTGCTGCCCACAGATTCCCGCCTGTCTGTCCCACTCGCGCGGAGCACGTGGTTTGGCGGCAATGTGAGAATGGTGTCCCCGGCCTGAGCACCGATTCAGCCTCCCCAAAGACCCCTGACTCAACGCTTCCGTTTGCTCGCCCCCTGGAAAAATGAGAACATATGAGTCTGAGTCAGCGTCAAAAATACTCGTCTGGGGTGTATTCATTCTGATGTTAGGACGTCCCGTATCGTTTTTCAGGTTTTGTTCTGGGGTTTTGGGGTATTGCTTTTGTGGACGTCCTGTTTCTCAAACAAAAAACACATGTGCATGAAACACTCCTACATAAAGTAAATGAGAAAAAACAAAATGGCCAGTAGTGAAATCGGTTGCCTTTAAAACCATGGGAAAATATAACATATTTCCTGCAGAAATGGAAGAAGGGTTAGAGGCTGAATCAGCCTCACTACCCTCTCCAACTGACATGGCATCTGACAGGGGGTACCTCCAAGAGGAAACTGATCTTCCAGGTACCCTCCTAGCCACAGATGCTACGTTTGTGGAAGGAAGGGTACGGGAAATAAGGCAGAATAAGGCGGACATCTTTTGGGAAGAGGAAGGTTGGTTAACAGCTCCCCTACAAATTTGGAAAACAAATATCTTCCGGCCACGGACAGTGCCAATAGAAAAGTAAACGGCTCCTCGAATCATCGAGTGAGTGGGTGAAATGCGTCCAAAAGCTCGTGTATTCAAACAATAGCCCAAGACAACGATCTTGCCCGGTAACTGTATGGCTAACTCTGAAACAAGTAGGTTGCAACCACTTGGCACAGGAGCTCCTCCTAGCGGCCGTTGAAAAAAAAAGAGTTGCAACCCATGGTTGTAAGGGCGCTTCCCCCATTCACTCAGCCGGTCCCATGGAGCATCCGAGCAGAGGCTCCGAACGCCAAGCTGCGTGAAAGCCTTTGCGCGCCAGCAGTGCTCTTGTGCGGATGCCGTGGTGGTCCACCACGGCCACTCCTGGCGTGGCGCATCGAACGCCGCCCACAAAGAGAAGGATACCCCAACACACACACACAAAAAAAAAAACACACGCCCCCTTAAAAAGGGAAAAGGGGGGGGTTGGTGCGTTGTGCTTTTTCTACCCCCGGGCCCTCCCTGGGTTTGTGGGTCCCCACGTTGCCAGACCTGAAATTTGAGTTTTCTCCAGAAATTGATCTTCCGAGTGCCTTCCTGAAGGTGCCTTGTTGCGACCCCCTTTGCCCATCCCCCCGGTGCTTCCAGGCAAGCCACTGTCGGCAAGTTCTATCCAGGCTTTACATGGCTTCCCTTGGTGCTGCAATAACGGAACTGGTGACCCCTTAATGGACCACTAGGGGATAATAGCACATAGAGGACACCTAGATCGTTTCGGTAGGACCTCAACATTGCGAGGAGGCAGTATTTCTTGAAATCAGCTGGGTTTTTGTGTGGCCCAAAAATTAGCCTTCCGTCCTTTGGGATGGAAAATCCCAGCCCGGGCATGAGAGCAGTGGGGGGGGGGAAGGGGGTGGATGAAGATCATTTGCCCAGCTATATGGGTATGATTATTCATTGGGGGGACCCTCACATGAACAACATCATGTGGGTGCAGATTTGTTTCCTTATTCAAAATCCTAGCCATGTGGCACATAGGGCTGAAGAGAACTCTACCTACCCGCTCCTAGATCTCCATAAGCTGGATCTTCACCTGACCTCAGCGGTGGCTTCAGGTTGTGAGCCAAATCAAGTGCCGCACCCTGGAAAACCAGGAAAGAACCGTCGAACCCTTGCAAGGCTAAAATTGCATGCCGCACGATGTGTTCCTAGAGATTTTTCCGCCCTCAAAGGACCAATCAGAGAAGTTCCCGCTCTCAAGGACCAATCAGTGTGTTGGTCCACACCCGGTCTCAAAAGTTCAAACGTTGACCTTGGAGCAACCAGCCACTAAACACAAAAGGTAGACAAGGGCCAAAGTTGGTTCTGGACAAGTTGGCCACCCACTTCCCGAGTTGTTTTTGGCTAAAAGTCCAAGCTCGCTGGTTTCCACTAGAATCATCATCCCAAAAAGTTCAAAGTCCAGGAACTCGAGAAGTGAGGCGAAGCAAGAAGCAACTTTGGAAGCAATCCGAAGACCTCTGCTCTGGTTGCCAGTGGTCTCATGGAGGTGCCGGAAAACTCGATCCTTTGACCCAAATACTCCTTTAACGCTGTAGGGATCCAACCACTCCTCCCCTGCTTCCCCAAACTCAAAATTTAACAATCAAATTGTTAAGGCTCAAGGAGGGTCTTGATTTTCGGGGGGGAACGGGAGGGGGGAGGAGAATCCCAAAAAACAACCGGGAAAAAATATTAAGCAAATGGAAGCTTCTAGTTATCAAATAGAAACCACCGCTAAACTAACGAACATCTAGAAACAACAACTAATGAACCGGATGGCTGGGAACCGACAAGACCAGGGTTCCACTTTTTGACTACCCCAAGATAGACTTAAACCAAGGGATTACCCTTAAAAGGGGAACCTCTGGGTTTAAGTCTATCTTGGGGTCAAAAATTGTTTCACCCTGGCCAAGACCCGTGGCTCGTTGTGGCTCGTTCCGCTGGTCTCAGGCGTGGCAGGCGGCAAGAGCTGCAGCAGCTGCTGCGCAGCTTTCAGCGCCATCCGTTACGCGGACATCGGGCGATGTGGATGATTTTCTCTGCCGGAAGGACCTGGAAAATGAAAGGTGAACCTTCTAGGTCCTCAGATTTGAGAGGTTAGACTCAGTTGCTACCCGTTTTTTTTTTTTTTCTGTAGTCAAGTAATTTTAGGAGAACCCTCCCCCCAAAAAAATGGTAAAAGTTTTGGCACCAAGCTGGGGGACCTGGCCTTTGAAACCTTTTACTGGACAAGGACCTCAGGGAAACCAAAGGCGTGAAGGTGTCGGCTCGCTTTGGGCGACGTAGCGAGCCAGTCCATGGATTTGCTGCAAAGGGCGCTGGCTGAAATGGGTCTCCTGTTGGTCTCCCCTCAAAGCCAGCCCGATTCATGTTGCCAGAAAGCCAGTTGTCAGCCTGTCCGGCCGGGCAAACGTCCGGTTCAATACTCAATATGCGGAGAGCAAAGCAGAAAACAGCCCAGAACAAAACACCCGAAGCAGCTGAGCAACTGGTCAGGATTTTGGTACCTAGATCTTCCATTTGCTTGAGCCCCCTGGAAAAATAACATAGTTTTAGTAGTGATGGATTCCCTTGACAACCAACAGGAAATAGAAACGACATATTGACTCATGGGTAGTGCTCACCCGTGGCGTGTCACTTTGCATGGGAAACAAGTGCTTCTTGTTCACACGCAGGGATCTGCAGCCAAATGGCTACCGGGACATATGATCTCACCAAGCCTTGCCTGGTCATCTTGTAACAACTGAAATTTAGCCTGTGTCACTTTGGCAGCTTGGCCATCACTCCCAAGGATCCCAAGCAGGGACAAAGGAGGGGTTCCGCAAACCTTCCGCGGACATGCTCAAAAAATAATGCCCCTCTGCCCACTAGCTTACTTTCTTTGTGGGCAGAGAAACCCCCCCCAAAAAAAAACAAACAAAAACAAACACAAAACCACGCCGCTCAAATGACCATGGGTGCTACATCCACCCCTCAGATACCCCCTAGTTCGTGTTCGCATCGGCTTGAAGAGTTGAAGCCGAAACCACCCCTAACTATTGGGGCGTCGTGGGCCACACTCAACCCCTGATCTGCCATTTGCGGAAGTTCCCAGGGAAAAAAATAACAAATATCTCCTGTGATGAATTCACTTTACAACCAGAAGGGTGGCAATATGAAACATGATCGTTTCAGCAGCTGGAAGTGATTCTCGTGGAAGGTGTTTAATACCTACCCTGGGGTTCAAACCATTGAAACAATGGGGGTTAAAAAACCATTCATTGACCTAAGGATTTTCATCCAAATTGGGTCCCAAGGATTGTTTTTTAAATGGGGGACAAGGAACCCCCAGCTGCCAAGAGGTGCGCAGCGCCTGTCCAAACAACCGGCACGCCCCATCGCCCCGCTCTGCTCGCCTCGTCCGTTGCCTAAGGGCCAGTTTGAGAGTGTCACCGGAAAAAAAACGGGTCGAATCGGGTCGAATCAACGGCTCTGCAAAGGACACCTCCGAAAACCACCTGCGATACTAGAGGAGATGCTTTGATGTGAGCTGATTGCGAATGTTCTTGGTATCCTGGTGAACTCTTGCCAGGCCCAGGGCGGTGCACATGAAGGCCGGGACCTCCTCCAAAGGAATTTGGACACGCTGGGTGAGTTTGAAGGGAAGCCTCCGTTGCAACAACCAAATGGACGTATCTGTGTTTGGAGTTGGTACCCTCTGTCCCACTAACATAGCATTTCACAGGGGGTACCTTTAAGAGCAAACTGATCTTCCAGGTACACTCCCGCAAGTGCTGTGTTTGTTGGAAGAAGGGTACCCTTTTTGGGGGTTGGCTGCTGGCTCACAGGAAAACGCAAGGGAAGCTCCTTTTGTTTGGGGGGGGAGGGGCCCTACTTTGAGACAACCCCGAAGGGAACCCCAAAAACCACCCAGGGGGAAACTCCTTTTCAGAACTGGACCTCCCAGAATGGACTCCTTCTGTTAACTTATACAGGGGCATCCTCCGTTTTCACCGGCTTAGTGATGCTTTGTAAAAATAGTCAGGGATGGGAGTCACACTTTTTGATCTAAACCGTCTCATGGATCCTGCTAGAATCTAGCAGGATCCATGAGACGGTTGAGATCAAAAAGTGTGACTCCCATCCCTGACTATTTGATTTTGAAGGCCAAGTGCTTGATATCGCAGAATGAAAGCGCCACGCGCCCCTCCCCCAAAAAAAAACAACTTGCCCGGAAAGATGCATTGAACTATCCAGTGAACCCAAGTTATCCTTAAAAGGGGTAAACAACCATCTTTTTTTGGTGTTAAAAGGATGGTTCCCTTGACCTACAACACAGCTGAATGAATCCGCTGGGATGCTTAAACAAGGGCCCTTAACGTCGATCGTGTTTTTGGCGGGCTCTATGTGGGGGTTGTCGTAGAATAGGGGGCCCCGAAAAAGATGGTGGGTTTCTCAGAAAGCAAACGCGAAGCAGGTACCCTCCAAAAAAGACGAGCCGCATGTCTCAGTGGAGGTGCATCCAGAACATTGGCGTTGCGAAATTTGAGGAATGCTTGTTGGATGACCGTTTGGAAATCGGCAAACCCTAAAATAGGTTTCCCTATAAATCAACTCCTAAAAAGGTACCAGCTCATGTGTTTTTTTTTTTTTTTTAACACCCGCACGTTACTGGGCTGTTCCCACATCCCCTGCTAAAAGTCGAACAAAAACCTTGAGTGGTTATGGAAACGACCACTAAACCAATCAATACCCGAAACTCAGATGCCCCGTGCGCCAGGGGAAGAAAGAAACGGGCACTTTCTTTGGGTTGGTTGAGTTTAAAGGGAAGCCTTCCCCCGCCCCCCCCCAAAAAAAACAACACAAGAAAACAAAGGGAGCAATCTACGGGGCAACTGGGTAAAAACCCAAGGGAAAAAAGCTAAACCAAGGAAACACCTGAAACCCAAGGAAAAACCTAAATCCCCAAGGGAAAACATACAACCTCAATGGACAAATCTAAAAACCAAAGGAAACTCCTCGAAGAGCCCAAAGGAAAAGACTGCAACCCCCAAGAAACAAATCTAAAAACCCCAAGGGGAAAAAGCTAAACCCCCAAGGAAAACAATAAAACCAAGGGACAAGTCCAACAAAAAACATGGGGAAACCCAAAAACAAAAAACATCCAAACAAACACAGGAAAAACCAAAATAATAATAATAATAATAATAATAATAATAATAATAATAATAATAAACCAAAACAACTCAAAAAAACACGGAACAACAAAAAAAGGAAACCAACAAAACAACGCAAAACGGATGGCTGGGGACCCACGGAGCTGGGCCCCAGGCTGGGCCAGGCTCCGAAGGCGGGGTCCGCGGCGTCCGAGAAGGTGGGGGCGCGGGCGCCCCGGCGGTTGGCCGCCGGCACGCCTGGCGAAGCGAAGCGAAAGGGGGGGGGAGGGGAGGGTTGGGTTGGGTTGGGTTGAGTTGGGTTGGGTTGGGTTGTTGGGGGGGGTTTGAGTTGGGGTGTGGGGAGTTGGGTTGGGTTGGGGGGGTTGGAAAGGTTGGAAAGCCTGGGGCGGTGGGGAGTTGGGAGTTCGGGAATTTAGGAAGCTTTTTGGGGGTTTGGGAGGTTTGGGGGGTTTGGGGGGGTTTGGGGGGGTCGGGGGTTTGGGGGGCTTTTTGGGGGTTTGGGAGGTTTGGGGGGGCATTTTGGGGTTTTGGGGGGTTTGGGGGGGTTTGAGAGAGTTTGGGGGGTTTGGGGCGTTTGGGGGGGGGGGGTTGCGGGTAAGTGTTGTTGTGGGGTCTGGATTGACAGCCATGCCATGCAACAGTGCATACCTCGCATGACCTCGCTTCCCACTAAGTCAAAGTTTCAAGTTCAGGAACTGAGGACGTGAGCATGTGACATGAAATTTGGTGTCACTCACCTTTGCAGTGGATTGGTAACATGATCGTGCGAAACCAAAGAACCCTTTAGCTTAGCCAGCCCCAGGAAAGGTGCCAAGCCGCCCACATTTCAAACTTTGCCAACAAGAGCCGAAACAGGATAGGCGCACTGTACTTCTGCATGGTTGTGGGGAATACCTCACATTTTGCGATACCAACTTGGGCTTCTCATCCCTCTTAGTATCGCAGAATGTCAGCGCCCAGATCCAGAACCATGTCATTCGGGCGGAATTGGTTGGCGGGTTGGCCCATCCTCCGAGGCAAAACGGGGCTCGCCTCAAAATTTCCCCTGAAAACCTCAGCTTGAAGGGAAGCTCACCTTAAATGGGCAAAGGCGATGTTCAAATCCAAAAAGGGAAATATAGGGACCCCTGAACGGGGCACGCCTGGTCAGAACTGGTTGACTTGAATGCCAGTCGAATCGGTGCCAGATCCAAACTACCAGTTGGCAGCTGAGAAATCGGTGGCTTGGTGAGTGGCCCCATCGAGCTCCAGAAACCACCCGTTTCTGGTGCACTGTTGATGCTCCACCGGTGAATTCCCCCGGTATTTTCCCCGGTGAATTTTTAAAGGGAATCCATCTCTATTGCAAATATGTTTTTTTGTTCCAGGGGGCTTGAGCAAATTTGAGGTTATGAGTGCGACAAATGCTGGAATCCACAGTTGGAGTATCAAAAAACATGTAGTCTAGAACAACGGCTCCTCTGCAGACTCAGGCAGGTTGCCTTTGTCCCAATCGGGGTTTATCCGTATATGGTTTCTTGCCTATCCGCGGTGGTACCCCTAGAGCAGCCGGAGGCCAAGCGGCACTTATTGCCGGTGTTCCTTTTGACCATCCCTTCTGCACTTGGGGGGGATCGAGGCCTGTTTTCAAATATGTTCAGCAGCACGTGAGAAATGAACGATTGAATGGATGTGCCCAAAGCGAACCTTGGACCATTGGGCTTCGCGTAGGGCCAATTCGGCCCAAGAGCAAATATGTCCAGGTCCGTTGGTTCAGGAAACCCTTGGATTGGTTTGTTAAACCGCAGCAAGTGAAGGCAATGGCGGTGGTTTTCCAGGCCCGGCCTAGGTTCCCGGAGTAGGTGCG